AGCCTCTCAGATGTGCGTAAGGGATATCGGTCGAATCTGAGCTCATGATGACAGTGGAGATTCTTTGAGAATTTGTGAAATGTTGGCAAGCTTCTATGGAAGAGGAACTGACTGCTGTCTTAGTGAAGAGTAAAAACGTTTGGTGACAACTGGTGTAAGATGGTGTGAAAAATCTCTCCAAAGCCAATAAGGAAATCCTATGCACATCAAGAGAAGGGACGCTAGTACCTTCCGGAATAGGTAATAGTTCCGGGGCTGAGTACTGGGTATAAGTATTAATTATTTGAAAAAACAGTATCTGTCCACAGGGTTGATAACAGAGCTGATGTTTAATGCCTTAGACTCTCTGCCAGTGATTTTGTTTACAGTATTCCACCAACCCTTAGTCCCAGTTCCATGTTTTCTGTTTTCATTGCGTTCAGCCGGCACTTGGTTGTTGCGGGTGAGCTCATTTATCATTGCTTGTAGGTCAGCATTCACATCGCAATATTTCCTGGTGTTCCTATTTCTGATGGACCCTGATGGTACACAGGTGTTTAACCAGTGGCGACACACAAGGGGGTCCCATGAAGACACCTTCATTCGTTGAATATCCCTCTGAGGGCGTTATCCAATTAGTGAATCACCTTGGTGATATCGTCACAAGACAGTAAGTTGCTCCAAACGCCTGTGTCTAGCTTATGCTCCGTTTGAATCTTCCGATGTTCCCATCTCTGAAATACACAATCGACCTGTCAGGTCTAACAGCGATGCGAGGAGTGACCATAACAACTAGCTAAGCGGTCTGACAGCACAAGACCATTAAGCGCAACTGGTGGTTTCCACAGGTGTGGGTAGTTGGTAAGAAACACAACTAACACTTTATGGCGTCTTGTGACTTTCCGCACCATCTTCTCAAGGATTTGTTGACTCAAAAGATCGCGTACATTCAGTTGGTTAATGCCCTCCGCAAAGATGATTCATTGAAAACAAAAGCAGTTAACGATTGGGCCTCACTGCCGAGTGAGCTCAAGAGACTATTGCCAAAATCGATTTTTAATTACAAATTGAAACAGATTTTTTCAATTTGAACCGTATTTGGTATTTTTTATCTTAGTTTTAAACGATTTTTAAACACGAACTGAAACGTTTTTATAAAAAAAACGGCAATTGATGTCAGCCTGAATGAATGTGAGTTAATTAAAGCAGGTCAACAACAACAATAATAATAATAATAATAATAATAATAATAATAATAATAATAATAATAATAAGTGAATTTTTCGTCAACTAGTGTAGGTGGGTTCACAACCGGACTATCAGCAGTGTGGTGGTAGACTCTGCTTGTTGTTGGCCGGTTGCTCACGGTCTGCTTGAAACTGAAGCCCCAGTTACGTCGGACCAATCCGTCTTGAGTTCTAACGACATACGAACGCAGGGTCACCTCTGCTAAGACTTCCTGTAACTCCGGAGACCTTTCATCTCCGGTGGGTTTGGTGTAGAAAAATTGGCAAGGCATAGGTAGCGCTAGCTCCTGACTTGCAGTTTTGTCATACTGGGCTTTTGCTTAAGCCCTTCTGTCTAGGAGTTCTTCGCACACCACTTCTACTGGTGGCACAGGTAAACGCAACAATGATTCAGACACTGGCAAAATTGACATTCGACGGCAGAGAAACCTCTGTGTCAGGGAGTAGGTCATACCCTGAGGTGATGTATTCGTGTGCTCCAGAAGACCATTTCGTAGTTCAGACTTCTTTAACATCTTTTCGGCTTCTTTTACTGATGATTGTGCTTTACACGTCGCCCTCGCTTAATACGGCGATCGGGTAATCAACTGGAAATCATAAGCTTTGACAAAATTTGAGAACCCCTGGGAGACATACAGAGGACCATTGTCAGACAAAAACCTTTCGGGTACACCATAGCGGGCGAAGTGTGGCTTTGTGACCGAGAAAACATGAACTGCAGTGATGTAGTCGTTTAATAGATCTACCTAGTAGAACTAGTCACTGAAGTGGTCTTTAGCTACTGTCACGGCATACCACCGCCCTTCTTGCTTAACCTGGTCTTGTGAAATGAAATTCCACGGGCCTTAAGGAATTTCGCGTGACAACATAGGTTCCTTCAGAAGTGAAAAACTTTAGCTAGCACACACAGAGCAGTTGACACTGTCTTGGAGGATTTCACGTGTACAACGCTCCATACTTCCCCCACCCTGGTGTCCCCGGTGGAGTTTTCTCAACACAATAGACTGCAACTGCCAGGGTATGACAACTTTATGGGACTTGTACAGTACGCCATTGTATACTGCCAGTTTTTCCCGCCATGGGTAATACTGGTGGAGCGCTGTTGAAACAGAAACAGAGGATTTGTCAGGCGGCCATCCCTGAGCCACGAATTCACACAGGACAGACAACGTTGGTTCAGCTGTCTTTGCCACTCTGATCTCTTCTATTGTACTAGTGAACGTCTCAGGAGAATCCAATTCTATAGGCTCTCCAGTTCTGCTCTGAACAACTCGTCATTATCTTCTAAGCAACACTGAAATACTTCCTCTTGGGGGCCAAAGGGTGTAGGCCTGTGTAAGGAGGCTCTTGACAGGGTAGTACTTACCTTTCTTATTCCCAACCGTGAAATTGAATGGCTGAAGCTGAAGCATCGTACGCTGCAAACGCTTTGGAGCACTACTTGAGGGTTTCTTGAAAATAGTTTTCAGTGGTTGATGGTCAGAGTGTACTATCACATCTTGCTTGCCACCCAGTGCACCTGTGCACTGTGCAGGCTGGTGCACCAGAGCAGAAGTAAGATCGGTATTTATAAGCCGTTTTCAGAGTATTCACAAGGATCATATATAGATTTTGGACTTGTGTATTAATATGAAAGGTGATTACTGAGGACTTGCTCAGGTAACATCCGCACACTCGCTTTTACAAGTCTTGGTTAGCGTCGTAGGTTGAGCTATTTAATATTAAAGTGTAAACGGCGCACTGTGCTCGTTAAATAGTGCACAAGAGAAGATTTTATTTAATTCTAATTTGGAAAAAAGGAGAATTCTAACATCAGAAAGCTCAGAAAAAACATCGAAATCGCATTAACCTTGTATTCAGAACTAAATTATATATACCGAGCTACAACAGCCATTTTAACTTGGTTCAAAATCTTTATGAAGATGTATGTGATTTTGTACATTTTTAGCTTCATACGTTTAAATCTTCTGCGAAGAACCATTTTTTGTGACTGCAAAATCTGGAGCCGAATGTCTACTTATACCGCGCTACAACAGCCATTTTAACTTGGTTCAAAAACTTTCTGAAGATGTATGTGATTTTGCACATTTTTAGCTTCATACCTTTAAATCTTCTGCGAAGAACCATTTGTCGTGTCTGCAAAATATGGCGCCGAATTTCTACTGATCCAGCAATTGTGAGAAAGGTCTTGAATCACGCGAGTTTGAATCAATTCGCTTGTTCGAAACTTTAAATGACTGTCAGCTTAAAAAAAACAACAAAAGTTTCCATATCTTGGGAACATGTCGACGACGTGTGCAGGAGAATTCACTGGAAAAAGTTGCGTGTTCTGTGAACATTGCCAAACTTGTCACTTCAGAATTCTTTGTTCCCACGACCTTGGCAAATCTTCTTGAACTCAATGTTCGTAAATCCAAATTCAACGATAACCACCTCTTTTAGAGGTGTCCAGAATGTGTAAAACCCTAAGAATACTAAGTGTTTTAGGTTGCCGTATGACTGATCGCAGCGTATAAAATGTCTTGTTGGAAAGTCTAGTTTTCCGTGAACATTGCCAACTGCTAACTTTTGACAGGACAGTCCCCAGTCTCTTTGCGTCAAAGGTCTTGATCTTTTTTTTTTAACTATTTAAAATTAAACTAGTGAGCAGCACTCTGCGAAATGTCGCTGTAAAACTCGTTTATTCTCATGCGCATTTTGATTAACTAACGTAGACTTCTTCAGGGAGTTTTATTTGTTTTATTTTGTATTTAAGCCATAACATGACTAAAAAATGATGGTCGCAAACATTGAGGGTTTGGCCGGATATGTTTTGAACGTTTTGTTGATATGAGATGATCATAGCCAACTCATATCCAACGCGTACTCGTGGAATAATTATTAAATATTTACATTGCTGGTTACAATCCTTTCAAAAACGGAGGTAAAAAAGAGGGAGAGGGTATTATAGTATCATCTACAGTTACTCTCCCTTTTTTCAAGACACTGGCCAACTTAATCAGTATTACGAGTCGATTTAAGGAAAACACTTAGAACCCCTCTCATTACAGTTTCCAACACCCACTGCCGCCCAAAAGAAGTGGACATCACAGACTTCATTGTCCATAAGGCAAAAACTGCTGTTCATATTAATGCCTGTTTAGCTGTCACCGTCTTCTCCTAAACCAGCGATTTCATCTTCGCTTCCACCCATGGCGCGCCAAAATGCAATGGCAACCTGTTGACAATTAAAAGAGGAAAGAAATAGAATTAATATTTCAGAACGTGACATTGCACCTGCACCTGCAGCTATCCCGTAGTCAATGACTGTTGAGGCGCCACGGACATAGCAACCCTCTCCCTCCATTTGACTGTGTTTTCAGCGTCTCTTAGAGCGTTGCAAAACTTCAACCCTGTCCACTCAGAGATATTATTCTCCCAACGCTTCTTTTGTCGGCCCCTTCTTCTCCCTCCTTCCACTGTTCCTTGTAAAATTGTCTTGACAAGCCCTGATGATCTTGATACATGCCCAAACCACTTTAACTTGCGTTTCTTTACTATGGTTAAGATATCATCATAGGGCCTAATAGCTTGCCTGAGATTATAGGAAAGTAAATAATGACGGAGATTTAATTCAGAAGTAAGAAAATGACTTGCTTTGGCAGTTGATGACTTAGTAGATGGAAAGGTGTACAAAATTCCACTGACGTACGTATAATGAAAGCAACTTACCCTTTCGGCGTAATCTTTCCTTTCTTCAGCAGGTAGTGAAGATGCACGCTCTAGGAAAAGGAAGAGAAAAAGCTGTAAGTAATAAGTATTTTTTATGAATGTTGTTTCTGATGCTTTGCTGGAAGTTTTCATAGTACAAAAATCTTTGTTTTTTATTTTGCTACTAGTGGGAAAAATAATACTGAGGAGATAAAACACTTTTCTGACTTACACAAAGCCGTTATTTAGCAGATAATTTCTGTTAATAGAAACACGCAAAAGTCGCCAATCCCGCACACATTTCTTAATCAAAAACAGTACTCTACATAACCCTGTTGGCAAACAGCCTGAAGAAACTCAAGTCTACATTTTATCTTATCTCGTATACTGTAGCACGGTGAAGATCGAAAAACAATGATTCCGAAGTTTTTCTACTTTTATAAAAAAAGTGGGGCTTATAACAGCACACGGCTGGAAGCAATCAATTAGTCCGTGTCTGCATTGACAGGTGTCCGTTAGACGGGGTATGACACAATTACAATATTTATCAATTTCTGGGCAAACAAAATTAATAAATACAAAAAAACAAGGACGCTCTTAAAAAAGCGTCAAGTCTCACTTTTTTGGAGATTAGATAAGAATTGGGGAGGCGATTAATTATACACGAGACAGGATTTCCTCGCTAAATTTTTTTCACTTCCTACTTCATCGATGGTCGAGTATTCTTCAGGATCAGTTACCTTTTATATCGTATTCGATTCGACGATAATTGCGTACGCGTGTATAAATCCTGCCGTAGTCAATCGAACGTTCGGCAATCGAACCCAATCGAACTCCAATCGTTCGACTGACTTCGATTGGTTTCGGCAATCCAACATGATCGAGCTCACCCCAAACTTTTGCCAATCGAACACAATCGAACGTTCAGAAATGGAAGCTTCAAAAATTGTACACAAATCAAGATTCATCTCCTTTCAAACAAGGCGTTGCTGTCAACAAATAAGTTATGTGTTACCTTCAATTTCAAACACAAGTACACAGGGCAGATGTCGGAGAGAGCAGAGACAGCGTAAACCGTGAAACTACCAATTCTGGAAGAGAGTGGTTATAAATGAAGGCTATCACGGGTGCCCTTTCGCCGTCGGTGTCGATGTAAAGTTTATTTTTGAGAAAGGGGTCTAGCCCATACGTTAACTGACGGTGGCCGCGGCCGCCAGCTCGGACATTGACCGTCAAAGTTAAAGTGTGAATCTTATGCCCGCTACCGTCGTTAAGCACTTCCAGTACTAATTGTGAATTTATGGATTACTTCAAAAATAAAGATTTTAGTCAATTGAAGTGACTTTTCGTTGTCATACCTGGCTAAGAGGGAAATGTTTCTGATTATTTTAATTAAAACTATTCTCACTGGATTTTATTTTCTTTCTGCCGAGCAACATCAAACAAATCGCGTCGTTTAGTTTGATTGGTTCGATTGAGTTCGGTAATCGAACCCACGAGTTCGATTAATTGAACTCACCGAACAGTTGCAGTTCGATTATGTTCCATTCCTGAACCAATCGAACAATAATCCGTCCGATTTGGTTCGATTGATAGTTAGTTCGGTTTTGTTCGATTAGCTACGTCGAGATAAATACACGAATATCAATTCGAGAGAAATTACACCTTTGCCAGAGACCAGAAACGTGATGAACATGGCGCGTCATTTCAATCATCGCCGAAAATAAACAGCACGCTCATCATAAGACTCGTTTGCATATAACGAAATCTCACCATCGAAGTTTTCACTGAAGTATTCAACTGTTCCATAGTAATCAACGCTTTCGTGGACCGACCTGTTTCGGAAAAGCTCGACATCTTTCGCATCAATCTTTCAAAAGCTTCCTTCACAAAATAAAGCATGGCGCTGTGACACGTTTCGATTCTTTTCCTCAGTTTTCGCGGTTTCCGCTAGGAACGCATGGGACCATGATTCCCCTTTTGGCACGTACACACGAAAAAAAGGAAACGTTTGCATTTTCTGAGTCTCGCTTGCTTGAGCAATGACCGCTCACATAATAATTGTAATGATGAAAATGACGATAAAAATGATGATGATGTTTATGATGATGTTAATAAAGATGATGATGATAGTAATAATTAACAAGCAAAGCAGACAAACACGCAGTAATTTTCAAGGAGTTATAATAACTCCTCTAGTGGGGTTAATTTAACTCCTCACAGTGGAGTTATTTTTTGGGGAGTTATTTTCACTCCAAAAAGGAGTTTAAAGAACTCTTTTCCAGCAGTAAAAATGACCTCAGATATTGAAGAGTTAAAATAACCCCAAAAAAGGAGTTATCCTGTACCTAAAATTTTTACTCCACTTTCAGAGTTAAAGTAACTCCAGAAAGAGTGAAAACAACCCATGTAAGGAGTAAAAATAACCCCATTTTTGGAGTTATTTTAACTCCAGACTGGGAGTAAAAAGGACTCTTTTTCAGGAGTAAAAATGACCCCAAATTTGGAGTTAAATTAGGAGTTAAAGTAACCCCAAAAACGGGGTTATTCTGTACCTAAAATTTTTACTCCATTTTTGGAGTTATAATAACTCCCTAAAAATTACTGTGCAAACAAACAATTTCTGACCTTTCATTGCCGCAAGCTTCTGGAACAGCTCCTCAAATGATTCATTTTCAGCTCCATCACTTGCTAAGTTGCTAAGTAATTCAAGGTCATCAGTTGGCTGTGCAAAGGCTACGAAACAATCACAGAGTGATTTCATATGAGAAACGAGACATCAGCAAGAACGAGAATGGACAGTCACATCACACAATGATTTTCATTTTAAGTTTTTATCAGTGGGTAACAGTGCAGATGTTTTCTCTACTTTGTTTGCATGTTGGATCCACTTTTCTCTGATATTATGTTTCTTTCGAATCCTAATGCTGCCTGCTGTTCACAGATCCCTAATTTCTCTTTAGAGGTCGATTATTACAGAGTTATTTTGGTGGCGACTTCATTGGTGGCGAGATGAGAGGTTACGTGCGTGGGGATTTATTGACCTCAAGAGCAAGGGGGTGGGGGCGGGGAAAAGAGGAAATTGTTCCTTTCTTTTTTTCTCGCACTTCGCGCTCATTCTCGCGCTCCATGCTTGCGCTCTGTCGAATGGTCGAAAAAAAAAAAAAACGAAAAGGAGGAAACAAAGACAGAAAAGAAAAGAATAACTTTTGTCGATAGGCTAAAATAATGTTCCCCTAAGCTAAGAACTATCGGGCTCCAGTATGTTGTCTTTTGTGTCAAGACCCTTTACATGATGCTTTTACTTTCTAATGGTAGTTGTTTTGTCTGTTTCCTCTATTGTCTGCTAGAGTTAATCAAAAGAAACAAACAAACTAACCTTGAGGCTTGTCACTGGCTGCTAATGAACAAGTTGGGTTCTTTGAAGCACCATCATTTTTACTACTCTGTTTACTATTATCCTCTTTGTTAACTGCTTCTTGGTCGTTACTGGAAACTTTTGTAGCTCTGTGACTTTGACTCTCTGCATGCGAAAAAATACAATACAATTTTATTATTGTGTTTGATCTTCAACAAAGTACAATGTACATGTACGACCCTCTACTCCGATTTTTTAGTGTGCAGATTCAATTAGATAAGAGTGTAGTCTGTAGCCGTTTTCATTCTACCCTGCAAGTTGCATGCATGTTGGAAGTAAAACATGTCATCTGGTTTCTTTGCTGGCCTGGTTCTAACACTGGTAACCGAGGCTGAATACTGGTTTAAATGTAAGAATGGATTTTACCTATAACATGCAAAGACTGTAGTTAAGTAGCACTCCCAGTTCTAATGAAGTGAAAAATAGTGCCAGGCATTGAGCATTTTCAGCTTCAAGACAATAGCCTAGCGCACAAATGATGTCAGAGTGACTAATTTACAATTATTTTTGTCCAGGTTTTGTAATTTTTCTCATTTTAATGACAAAAGACAGACAAAAGTGAGGAATTGGCTAATGTTAATTTCAGTTTGTTTGTCTGAGTTTCAGGTCTATAAATAGTAACTGAGCGCAGATCTATTTTGGGCTTGTTTAATGACAGAGATAAATAAACAGAATCAAGACTGGCAGATTAACTACTGTAACTAGCCTGTGAATACAGCTGCCTCTCGTCACTCCCTGTTGCTGGAGACTGCTGAATGTTTCATGAGAGAGACTTTTGAGTTTTGTCTGCCACTTGCAAAAAATAGGTGAAAGAGGACACTATGTGTAGTTGCTACATACAGTAGTATGTCAAATCATCACCATATAATTTTTGGACAAAAACACAGACTCCTCTGTCACAAAAGTCCCTGGCAAGGGGGAGCAATGGGAAGTGGCTGTATTTGCAGGCAACAACAGTAACAAGAACATAAACTAATTAAGAATAGCATGGACAGGTGATGTATCAGTGCTCATTAAATCATACCCCTCATTTCCATATTAGGCCACTCGGCACACTGAAGAGCTTCAATCACTCTGTCTATGCCTGTCTTTTCACGAAAGTCATCTAGGATGAATGCACATTGTTATTCTTTATTGGACATTTCAATGCTAGATTTTGCAAAACATATCCTAATTCATTAATTATGATTATTTATTCAAACAAAAGGTATTTCAAATCAGCCGTAAACAATAATGCTATGGTGTAACATGAGAGTTTACTACTTTCATGTCCTGCGTCTGGTATTTTATTTATTTAACTGTTACAAAGTGAATGACATGCCACAATAAGCAGGATACCTTCCTCATCATCTTCTTCATCCTCCTCACAGATCATGTTAATGAGCTCAAATGAGTTATCCAAACACCATTTTACTACCTCTGCTTTAGACACACCTAAAGATAGTAATAAAAACAAAGATTATTATAATAACAAATTCTGATGAATCTTGACAGTTTTCCTAACAATTATTGTTAGGAAAACTGTATGATAATAATTATACTTGCTATTATAAAAAGTCATTGTGTCTTATCACTGGGACAGGCTGTTAGTTACAGTGCAGATCTTCTAAAATCTCATTACTGCATTTATGTGCATCAAATTCACAAAAGTGCAAGACTGCTTAGTTGACACAATAATTATTGCTTTATTTTCTTGTTTATTGATTCATATTTCTGCTTTATTGATTCATAGCCCTCATAGCTCCTGCATAGTCCAGATGGGATGCCAACAGAAATGCTTTTTTTATAGGTACATGTATGCACATGTATACTTTGCAATTCCATTTTATCCTTAGTTTTTATGTATAACGATTTGAGACAAGGGAAGGAAAAATCAAACCAAAGCAATAAAATTGAACTACAACATATATCAGTTACAAATTATTTTTATACAAGAAGGTTCATCTGTTGACAATAATTAAATTTTATGTATGATGGTAACAAAAAATTCAAGAAAGCAAATTATTCATCTTGAGACAGGTGTTTTACCTCCATTGTCTAATTCTCCTTTACCAGAATTGATCAGTAACAAGACAGATGGATCCTTGGACTCAATGTATGACAGCCATGAGGCTACTTCCTCAAAACTAGATTTCTAGGATAGATGATAATTTATGAACAGTAACAAAACCAGCAAAATTTTTATTCACGCTGTGAATTTTATATTATGCATTATTTTCCCTTGTATTTGGTTAAAAAAAAACTTGATATGGAGGAAAATAAAATAATTAAGATTGACAGTTTAGTACATGCTGTTATCTAATGATGATTAAAGATAAAGGTTCCTGTTTGAATAGTACACTGTAAGAAGTGAGGGGGATGAGGGTGGGAAATTAAGGTACATCTACATGTAACATGTACTGTATATACCCATGTTAGAATGTACAAATCAGTAGGATATGGGTTTTTCACCTAAAAAACCCCCGGGGGGAACCGCTGGGAAAATTTTTCTCGGTGGGGGTGTGCCGCCTGGTTCTCCAAGTCCTGACCCTATTTCAGACCAAAAACTGGCATTTTTTCACACCTACTTTAAGACCTAGTCTCTAAAATCCATACTTGTATTTAGACCTGGTCCCGGTAGTTCAAACGTCGGATAGCGCTATCCACCGGATAAATCACTATCCAGCGGATAGCGTAATTGATTTCTGTAATACTTATCCGCTGGATAGTGAGTTATCCGGTGGATGGTGCTATCCAACGTTTGAACTACTGGGGCCCGGCCTCTAGGAAGTCATCTCATTGTTATTTAGATTAAAAAGCCAACAAAACAGATTACTAAAAATACACTTTGAATTCGCATTGATTTCTCTTTCTTTCTTATTCATTCCATAATCGCATTCATACACTCCTGTAGTTTCCTCTAATTTACCATACCCGATTCCAGACCAAAATGGGCAAAGGCTATACCCATTTACAGACCAAAACAGCTCAAAAACCATATCCTTTGGGATGGCACATACCTATATAGCTTATACAAGGGAGTACCCTCTCCCCCTCCCGTCAGGCTATTGGCTTTTTATGGAAAAAGGCACACACAAGTGCTCTGGCAAAATGGTGGATTAAGAATACAGGTTCATTGTAGTCTTTCAAAGTGCAGCTCAATACACTGTATTCACAAATGGCGGACACGCGGGAAAAAACTGGTGCCTAGTCATGAAAGCGAGGCGTTGAAGGATAAACAAAAATTGCAAATTAAGACTTTCAGAGAACTTGCAGAGTGTTTAGCACGGATTCCACCTAAAATAACTCTGTACGGACTTCTTTTTAAATACAATTACGTAGGATGTTTTCAGCTTTTAATATTTAGTAGTGATTTGCTGTTTGCAATCAAAAGGGACGCTATATCTTCAAAGAAACAGGATGATTTTGTAGGTTTCCGAAGCATCAGAAGCTCGACAAGTGGGCGATGGCTGGAGAAAAGCGGCAAACATGATGGCCCAAACTTCACACTGAAACCGAATACGAAAGCGAGATCTCTACAATTCTGTAAAACAGAAATAAAAACAGATATTGGTGGCGAGAAAAAGAGAAATAAGCGACGGATATATGGCCTACTTGTCAACGGAATGGACCTCCGCCATTACACAAAACAGGTCAAGTCGAGAGCGGGTGAAAGATTCATTCACGAAGCTCATTCATTCATGTCAGTGTCATTTTATACATATCTATGTATATATGTATGTCTGTATTTACAACTTCCTTTGGATCATATTAATTCCGTCGGTTTGGAGTAAATTGTTAGAGGTACGTTGGCACAGCTTAGCAAAAATCTCATGATTTCTTTGTTATTAATTAAACATAATTTTATCAAACTTAGAAGCTGTTATGGCCTGCTATTTGCCTGGTCTCCTCTAGGGCATGATCTCGGAGAGCCCTTGGTAAAAAAGCGGTATAAAGCTCACATTTTACTAAGTTAAACTTTTAAGGCAATGTTTGTGTCAGGACTGAACACGGCAAGCTTCTGTTTCGAATAATTAAATTCGAGTCTGGATCCGTTTAACTTGAAGAAGACCATCATTTTATTTATTTATGTATTCTTCAACTTTAAAATATTATGGAACATAAAGTTAAAGCTCTTAATAGCCAAAGATAAGAGATACGAAATTACTCGCTGAAATGATGTGGCCGGCTTACCGAGTCTGCTGAGTAACAAGTTGAAATTTTGAGCGTACTCCACTCGGTCGCGCCTGCATTTATACTAAAAAATTAGTTCTAATTGATGTCCTTCATCGATAAAGACCAGAGAATAACGTCCTGGCAAACAAAAAACAAACATGACTTCATCGAAACCTCAGTCACCTCTTCTTTCCTGTCTTCCTTTTTTCCATCGGCTCGACTTGAATTGTTCAGCGTCAGACGTCTCTTACGTTAACAAGTAGGCCATATACCTGTCGCTTATTTCTTTTTTTCTTGCCACCAAGATTTGTTTATAGTTCTGTTTCACCGAATTGCAGTGAGCTGGCTTTCGTACTCGGTTTCAATGTGAAGTTTGGGCCAACATGTTTGCCGCTTTTCTCCAGCCATCGTCCACTTGTCGAGCTTCTGATGCTTCGCAGACCTACAAAATCATCCTGTTTCCTTGAAGATATACGCGTCCTTTTTGATTGCAAACAGCAAATCACTACTAAACATTAAAAGCAGAAAGCATCCCACGTAATTGTATTTAAAACGAAGTCTGTACAAAGTTATTTTAGGTGGAATCCGTGCTAAACACTCTGCAAGTTCTCTGAAAGTCTTAATTTGCAATTTTTGTTTATCCTCCAACGCCTCGCTTTCATGACTAGGCACCAGTTTTTTCCCGCGTGTCCGCCATTTGTGAATACGGCGTATTTCCTCAAACCTATCATGGTGGCAATAATGATCAGGAATCATTCATGTGGTCTGTATTGAAATCTGAGCATCAAGAATGAGAGTAAAAAATACAGATGAATCTTTGGCAGTAACAAAAATGTTAACTGAGAAAAGTTTTTATGCAGCCTCAAGCTGTACATGTATAAGGCAACATTTTGTATGATGATCATTTCTTTTCAGCCAGCAAAATGACACCTTATAAAGTTTGAGTGAGCGAAAGTAAACAACAACGCATAACACCTGTCCCATTTAAAATGTAACTTGAACTTTCAATGAAGCATTTACATTCATTCTTTTCTAAGGGAAAATTGCAATTGCCATTCTTATAATAACCTGTATTTCTCTCCCTGTAGGTAGAAGGTCAGATATCAATAAAAATGACACAAACAGAATATGGACTACCTGTGAACATACTATCATTAAAATTAAAATAAAAATGGGCCCTCACCTCTTTTTGATCAAAAGTAATAATGACACTTTGAAAATTCATGTTTCCTGCAAACTCACATTGTGGCGGCAGAGAACTAACAGAACATGCACAGAGATGCACATCTGCGGTGTAATATTTATTTTCTATTTTCCAAAGGTAAGAAGTCAAACTGTCTGTCAGCTGTGTGGGCTCAGGATGCTTCTTATTGCACATTGCTGAAATAGACAATAAAAGGGCAAGGAGAACTTGTAGAAAAGTCGGTCATAATAATAGACCTTGTCACGGATTCGACGCCATCTTGACAAGTAGGCAAACGCGTGAGAAATTACAGTGTTTGTATGAGAATCTAATGTCGAATAATTTCCGTAAAACGGTTGTTCTGAAAAAATATCAATTGTAATCTAAAGCTACAACGCAAAGGATTGTCCTAAAAAATTTTGAGGGCGTACCTGTCCTTAAATGTCTCCCGAGGCTTGCTTTGATTTTCCATACATTTGTCTGTAATTTTCCCGGGACTTTCTTACAGAAAAATGTATAGAAAATTTTAAAAAGCGGTTCTAGGTCTTCTAGGGCATGTAACGCCCTCAAATTTTTTCAGGAGAATTCTTAGGAGTGAAGCTTTAGTTTACAAATCATATTTTTTTTCAGAACAGCCGTTCTACGGAAATTATTCCACATTAGATTCTCATACAAATATTGTAATTTCTCACGCGTTTGCCTACTCGTCAAGATGGCGTCGAAAACCGTGACAAGGTCTATTATAAAATGAGGAGCGAACAATTAAATTTGTTTTGGAACTTTTCATTGATCACACTTGCCCACCAAAAATAACTACTGAGTTTCCCCACACAGGGAAAAAATTTTTTACGTCTTATGTGAATAAATTTTCTCACCATTAATGATATCTTCCGGGGAAAGAAACGAACTGCAGCTCACAACCAACACACGACCGACGTCCGCCATGTTGGATCCAGATTTTAGTGATAAGTCATATCAAGCGCAAATCTGGCGATGGAAGTTAGCCGCTGATCAGGATTGTGTGTTCTTTTGTCAGTCAGGCATTATTTACAACATGGTTGCTTAGAAATTAGACGCTGTCTGCGCTTTTCCACTAAATGGCGGTTTTTTGAACGTGCAGAACCCGTGAAACTATGCAGTGACTTCTCAAACCAGTTTTGTTATGCTAAAGATGTTTTCTTTGACAGATATTCCGCCTGGACCCACTGATATCGGAGAAATTCTTGTGAAGGTAAGCATCTTTGTGATTCAAGGATTAACAACTTGAATCAAAAAGACATCACAGTGCAATGACTTTTAGTATTTCTTAACGTTAGATTTTTTTTTATAAAATAATTTGTTCATGGTACTGAAAGATAATTGTTTTTAGCTTTTCACAGCTCTGCATCTCAGCCGAACATATCTGTCCGCAGTGGAATAATTGCTTTTTGAAATGCATGATTTTGTAAACTTCTTGAAGCGGTTGAAATGAAAAAATTGTACTAACACTTTTTTCTCATAATTGTTTCTACCAAACGAGGGAACTGAGGCTCTCAAGCACGCCTAAACTTGAAATACGTTAAGCCTAGATTAAACGCAGCACAATACTTGAAAATTAAGCTGTACAACGTACATGTACACATTTTGGCATTCTTGACTTATGCTTAATTTAGTTGTGTACCAACCTTTAGTTTTGTTTACTTTACTCATACTGTCAAAAATGACAAAACTATCTAAACCACACAGTTTCTTTATCATCATCTTCTTTTTTTTTTAGGTTTAATGGCTATTTTAAACATATACTTACCCATACTGTACATTACTTATTTTGCATTGTCAAAATAAATCTATTTAACAAGAGACTATTATTGAATCAAATTTGTTTAAGACCTGTATTATGTTGTTATTCTTACAGTAAACCCCATATGTACTAAATCTAATTCAATGCAGGTGAAGTGCTCATCAAGAGAAAAAATGGGATATTTTGGTTGTTATCAGTTGCACTGGTTACTTTGTACTTGACTTGTAAACTATACAAATCAACGATTATTCTAAACATCTTGTTCTTCTTATTATTTTTTGAGGTTCAAGATGATCTACGTCACCTCAAAGAGCAGATTATTTCACAAGCTACAGTCTCCACAGAAGTTATTGATCTCAAGACACTTGAAAGTGCAATTGAGAGAACAGAACAAAGTGTCAGGGTAATTGCTATTACAGCTTATTAGTTAATGAC